ACATTTTCCCTGTCCAGTCTATCATTGATAGGCATTTGGGTTGGTTCCAGGTATTTGCTGTTGTAGACAGTCCTGCAATGAACATACATGTGCACATGTCCTTATAGTAGAACGATTTATAATCCTTTGGATATATACATAGTAATGGGATTGCTGGGTCAAATGGAATTTCTGTTTCTAGGTCTTTGAGGAATCGCCACACTGTCTTGCACAATGGTTGAACTAATTTACACTCCCACCAACAGTGTAAAAGTGTTCCTATTTCTCCACATCCTCTCCAGCATCTTTTTCTCCAGATTTTTTTTTTTTTTTTTTTGAGACGGAGTGTCGCTCTTGTTACCCAGGCTGGAGTGCAATGGCACGATCTCGGCTCACCGCAACCTCCGCCTCCTGGGTTCAGGCAATTCTCCTGCCTCAGCCTCCTGAGTAGCTGGGATTACAGGCACGCGCCACCATGCCCAGCTAATCCAGATTTTTTAATGATCACCATTCTAACTGGCGTGAGATGGTATCTCAGTGTGGTTTTGATTTGCATTTCTCTAATGACCAGTGATGATGAGCTTTTTTCATATATTTGTGGGCCCCGTATATGTCTTCTTTTGAAAAGTGTCTATTCATATCCTTTGCCCACTTTTGAATGGGTTTGTTCGTTTGTTTCTTGTAAATCTGTTTTAGTTCTTTGTAGATTCTGCTTATTAGCCCTTTGTCAGATGGGTAGATTGCAAAAATTTTTTCCCATTCTGTTGGTTGCCGGTTCACTCTAATAATTGTTTCTTTTGCTGTGCAGAAGCTCCTTAGTTTAATTAGATCCCATTTGTCTATTTTGGCTTTTGTTGCCAATGCTTTTGGTGTTTTAGTCATGAAGTCCTTGCCTATGCCTGTGTCCTAAATGGTTTTGCCTAGGTTTTCTTTTAGGGTTTTTATGGTGTTAGGTCTTATGTTTAAGTCTTTAATCCATCTGTAGTTAATTTTATTGTACGTTGTCAGGAAGAGGTCCAATTTCTGCTTTCTACACATGGCTAGGCAGTTTTCCCAACACCATTTATTACAGGGAATCCTTTCCCCATTGCTTGTTTTTGTCAGGTTTGTCAAAGATCAGATGGTTGTAGATGTGTGGCGTTGCCTTCAGAGCCTCTGTTCTGTTCCATTGGTTTATATCTCTGTTTTGGTACCAGTACCATGCTGTTTTGATTACTGTAGTGTTGTAGTATAGTTTGAAATCAGGTAGTATGATGCTTCCAGTTTTGTTCTTTTTGCTTGGAATCGACTTGGCTATGTAGATTCTCTTTTGGTTCCATATGAAGTTTAAGGTGGTTTTTTCCAGATCTGTGAAGAGGGTCATAGGTAGCTTGATGGGGATAGCATTGAATCTATAAATTACTTTGGGCAGTATGGCCATTTTCACAATATTCATTCTTCCTAACCATGAGCATGGAATGTTTCTCTATCTGTTTGTGTCCTCTCTTATTTCCTTGAGCAGTGGTTTGTCGTTCTCCTTGAAGAGGTCCTTTACATCCTTTGTTAGTTGTATTCCTAGGTATTTTATTCTCTTTGTAGCAATTGTGAATGGGAGTTCATTCTTGATTTGGCTCTCTTTAAGTCTGTTATTGGTGTATATGAATACTTGTGATTTCTGCACATTGATTTTGTATCCTGAGACTTTGCCGAAGTTGCTTATCAGTTTCAGGAGATTTTGTGCTGAGATGATGGGGTCTTCTAAATATACAGTCATGTCACCTGCAAATAGAGACAATTTGACTTCCTCCTTTCCTAATTGAATACCCTTTATTTCTTTTTCTTGCCTGATTGCTCTGGCTAGAACTTCCAATTCTATATTGAATAGGAGTGGTGACAGAGGGCATCCTTGTCTAGTGCCAGATTTCAAAGGGAATGCTTCCAGTTTTGCCCATTCAGTATGATATTGGCTGTAGGTTTGTTATAAATAGCTTCTATTATTTTGAGATATTTTCCGTCAATACCTAGTTTATTGACAGTTTTTGGCATAAAGGGCTCTTGAATTTTGTTGAAGGCCTTTTCTGCATCTGTTGAGATAATCATGTGGTTTTTGTTTTCGGTTCTGTTTATGTGGTAGATTACATTTATAGACTTGCATATGTTGAACCAGCCTCGCATCCCCAGGATGAAGCCTACTTGATCATGATGGATAAGCGTTTTGATGTGCTATTGCAGTCGGTTTGCCAGTATTTTATTCAAGATTTTTGCATCTGTGTTCATCATGGATATTGGCCTGAAGTTTCCTTTTCTTGTTGAGTCTCTGCCGGGTTTTGGTATCAGGATGATATTGGTCTCATAAAATGATCTGTAAAGAATTCCCTCTTTTTGGGTTGTTTGGAATAGTTTCAGGAGTGGTAACAGCTCCTCTTTGTATGTCTGGTAGAATTCAGCTGTGAACCCATCTGGACCTGGGCTTTTTTTGGTTGGTAGGCTATTAATTGCTGCCTCAACTTCAGCCCTTGTTATTGGTCTATTCAGGGTTTCAACTTCTTCCTGATTTAGGCATTGGGAGGGTGCAAGTGTCCAAGAATTTATCCATTTCCTCCAGGTTTACTGGTTTATGTGCATAGAGTTGTTTGTAGTAGTCTCTGATGGTAGTTTGTATTTCCGTGGAATCGGTGACGATATTCCCTTTATCATTTTTTATTGCATCTATTTGATTCTTCTGTCTTTTTTATTAATCTGGCTAGTAGTCTGTCTATTTTGTTGATCTTTTCAAAAAACCAGCTCCTGGATTTATTAATTTTTTGAAAGGTTTTTTGTGTCTCTCCTTCAGATCTGCTCTGATCTTAGTTATTTCTTGTCTTCTGCTAGCTTTTGAGTTTTTTTGATCTTGCTCCTCTAGCTCTTTCAATTTTGATGATAGGGTATCCATTTTAGATCTTTCCTCATTTCTCATGTGGGCATTTATTGCTATAAATTTTCCTCTAGACACTGCTTTAAATGTGTCCCAGAGATTCTGGTATGTTGTGTCTTCATTCTCTGGTTTCGAAGAGCATGGTTATTTCTGCCTTCATTTCATTGTTTATCCAGTCAACATTCAAGAGCCAGTTGTTCAGTTTCCATGAAGTTGTGAGGTTCTGAGTTAGTTTCTTAATCCCGAGTTCTAATTTGATTGCACCGTGGCCTTAAATATTATTCTAAATTTTGTTCTCATGTCCACAAGTGCGTTCATTTGTCTTCATCTGCCACATCTATGCAGGATATAGTCACAGCACCTCATTGTTGGGAACACTGAGCAAGCTTGCAGAAAGGGCTGTTTGTACCTTGCAGAATCCTGTTTACGTTAGGCTTGACTTCCTTAGACATTGGCACAGGATTACTGACTGTGTAGTAACTGGGGTCAGCTCAGTTGTTTTATGTTTATTTGAGGTCAACCCTGGTCTCAGGATTTCACCACAGAGATTATTCTTGAGGGGATCTATAAACCATCCCTTCCTTAGCTTGGTCCAAATACATCCTACCCCTTATCTAATGAAATTAGTTTACATTTTTAGTATGGTTGAAAGCAGTACTTTTGACTTTTCTCTGTAGATGTCCCCAGATGTTGGTTCTCTAGTCCATGGATTTGTCTATGCAGAGCTCACCACTCTTTCTCTTTCTCTAAGTTAACATTCTCAGAAGCACAGACTTGCCTAGAAATCTTTGTAGACTCCCTCTTACTCAGATAGCAAACATACAACTCCTTAGTTTGAGCATTTAGGGCCTCCTGCCAGTAAGTTCATGTTCTTACCATGCAGACCTCTCTGCAGCTGCTGTTTCTGTGTTGCGTTAGGGTCCTGCAGGCCTTGCCTACAATAATCCTCATGTAATTCCTCCGACAGGAAAGCTGTGCTTTCTTCCATGGCTGTTTTCTAAATAACAAAGGCGTGATACTACACATAGAGTAGCAATTTGGACACTAAATTGAGATTCTGTGTCCCTGTCTTATTTGACAAAAGTGCACATTGTTGGGGAGATGGAGGCGGCATTTTAAAAGGAACTTGGTATATAGCATTAGTAATCATTAAAAGAAAAAAAAAAAAACAGAAAATAACCTTATCTCTGGCAGTACAGTAGTTGTTTCTGTGCACACACATCTGCAATACCATTTGTACAGAGAGAGAGTGAGCAAGCGAGGGCGAGGGCGCAGCCTGACATTAACAAGGGAGGAGGCGGACAATGAGTACATTAGCGGTTGTTGCACTTTCTGTTTTCTTTATATCCTTTATCTTCACGTTGCAACCTCCCCCTCATCTGGTTCCTTAAAAAAATGTGATACTTAGTGAGTTTTCTTTATATGCCTCTGCCAAGACATTATTGAAGCTTCCTTTTTCCCCTCACTGCAACAAAAGGCACAGAATGGTGTTTGAGTTTTTCAGAGGCATGGCTTCTGTAACTGTCCAACAGAGGCATAACTAAGAATCAGGTTTTCATAGTCTGAAAATGTCAAGTTAAATGTCTTCCGATAATATATCACCTCTAAAAATGTCTTTATTTGTTCTATCCAAGTATTTCTTTGATAGTTTTACCAAGAAAAAAGTAAGAGTGGTTTTGGTTGTGAAAAATAGAATATTTTAATAATGTTGTAAGGTGTCCAGCATATCCCACTTTATTACAATTAACTTTTCTCTACACTATTTAAAAGAGGAGTAGAAAGAGAATTTTTTTCAAAATATCCAGAGACAGGCTATGAAAGGAATAACAGAATTTAAGCCTTTTAATGTGTGTGTAAAAGGCAGTGTTTGCATCATGAAGACAGTTTTCTAAATTCATTACAATATTTTGGGGGTAGTTCTTTGAGTAGTTAGATCTTCTAAGTGCATTTGAGAAACAAAATTTAGTAATAAATGTATTTAAAATTTATATTATTCTTCCCTCTATTTGAACAGTTGTTCCAAAATGCAATCTGTTCAATAGGATTTTGCCCGTTCATATCTAAGTGGGAATCAGTACTTTCTTTGTTTGTCACCATGGAAACCAGTCAGCCAATCTGAATGGCTCTTAGATCACACAGAACCATGCAATGCTCCGCGCTCTCAGTGCAAGTTCCTCACTGAGTAAGTGGGGCTGACTCTTCCCTGCCTCTGGCTCTTGCCTCCCAGTGCCATGCAGGTGCACGAAGCAGCCAGGCGGCCCTCAGCTGTGCACTTCCTCAGCTCCTTTCTCCAGGGCCGCCGGCACTCCACCTCGGACCCAGTGCTGCGGCTGCAGCAGGCCCGGCGGGGCTCCGGCTCAGGCTTGGGCTGGGGCTCTGGCTCCCGCTCTGCCACGAAGCTGCTGTCCTCGTCCTCTCTCCAGGTGATGGTGGCCGTTTCCTCCGTCAGCCATGCAGAGGGAAACCCAACTTTCCCCGAAAGAAAAAGTAAAGATCTCTTTCTTCTTATAGGTTGTAATACCTTTGTATGTAAGTTTGAGGAATGGAAATCGGCTGTGTTGTGTTTATACCTTTTTAAATACTGGCAGTTTAGTCTATATTATACTTTTTGCTCTCTGTTATGCTAAGTATTTTAGTGAATAGATAAGAAGATATAAAATGATCAAATGTTTTGTGTTTTTTTAATTAAAAATATAGGTTTTAACAAAACTCATTCTCTCGTAAAACTTTTACAGTTTCTTCTTAATTGCCAGTATATGTGGAGATTATTATATGTGAAAACATTTTTATGTTAAGCGATATATGTCACTTTGATGACAAGGAAACAGTTTTCTTTTCTTGACAAAATGAAGGGGATTTGGCACTGGCTTGTCATCTACCATCCTGAGATAAAATGGAAGCTGTTTCCCATGTTACAGTTTCATCTGGAGAGTGGAATTTTGAATTTTCCTTTCCTTATATGTTCTAGGAAATTTAGGACATCCAACACCAAAGTACACAAAAGTAGGAGAGCGTTTACGGCATGTCATTCCTGGACACATGGCTTGTTCCATGGCGTGCGGTGGGAGAGCTTGCAAGTATGAGAACCCAGCCCGCTGGAGTGAGCAGGAGCAAGCCGTTAAGGGGGTTTACTCTTCCTGGTGAGTGAGCCTGTTGGTTTTTCGTAGTTCTGTCCGTTCTGTGTGAGCCAGGAGCCCGCAGTGTGGGAGGAGCAGTGTGGGGCTTTGAAGTCAGGACCTCACTTTGGCGGTCAGGTCTGGCTTTGCCCAGGCTGTGTGATCTTGGCCTACTGACTCTCAGTTTCTTTATCTGTAAGGTGGAAATAATAAAACCAAAACCATAGATTTGTTTTTTAATTAAGTGAAATGATATACATATAAAGTGTATTGAAGAAATGGGTAATTAGCTCTTAAATTTCAGAAATGTTTAGAAATAATAAAACTTCATCTATAAATTTGAGAAAATTATTAGGTACATGTGTAATTTTTCAGTTTCCTAGTGGTAGCCTTCAGCTTTTATGTTGTTACTGTATTCTCTATGAAAGGTCACATTTTCATACAAATACTCTTCAGTCTACCCTAATAGAGGTTGTATAGTTGTCAGCTCAGTAGACAACATACTTGCTTTTTTTATGGTGTATAAGTACAATTAATATTGTTCTTTAATCATACTGCTTTTTATTACACAGTAAACTAATCAAGTATACCTTTTTGATGTAGTAACATCTGAAAAGTGCTGATAAATCATATTTGAAGCATACTTAGAGGAATTCACTATTTAATACTAGTAGTGAATTATATTATGCATCAAGAACCCATTTTTAAATTAGATATTTGTTAACTGATATATCCAGCTTACAACCTGTACTTTTTGCTCAGTACATCTGTAGTGATACAGTCTGGGGTCCACTGTCATTATCGTTTGCCACAGATCATATAATGGTCCATCACTATCATACTAATAGTATGAAGAATGAAATATTCATAGACAAGAAAATTTCTAATAATGTAGCTTAGGTTTTTGCATATTTTTGCTAGTCACATGAGTCTTTTTCACCTCTGCTGCTTTCACATTACGTCCTCCCTCGTCTTACACTAATTATCATTGAAACGCAGGCGTCCCAAACCTTCTGTTTAAACCACATGCCTTTTTTCTGAGGGAAAGGTGTCATTTTGGCTCCCGCTCTGCCAGTCTCTGTTATTCCTCTGAGATTCATGTGACCCACATCTTCCAACAGACTATCTTGTATATCTCATTAGGCCACTGATGAAAAATTTGAACAGAACAGAGTGAAGCCAGAGCCCAGAGGCCTGACAAGAGTAATAGTCATTTATTGGGCATCTGTCTACCCATTCATTTGGCTCAGTAAATATCCATTTGGCTGGAGGCCAGTCAGTGTGCTACATGCTTTCGTATTATTACCTTTTATCTTCATAAAACTCTTGTGAGCTGTGAATGCGATTTTATTGATGACAGAATTGAGTTCCAGAGAGACCAAGCAATTTGTTACCAAGCTAGAAAGTAGAAAAGCCAGCATTTGAAACCAAGCCCAACTGACTCTGGAGCCCATATTTGTCACCAAATTACAGTAACTCAGCTTTTATTCGTAACTGCATGCCAGGATTTGTGCCAAAGACTTTATATCCACATCATAATGAATTCTCACATCAAACCCTGTGAGGCAGGCATTATTATCCCCATTTAACAGCTTAGGTAACTGAGGTTCAGATGGTTGAATAACTAAAAATATCTCCCAGTTGGCCCTCCTCTTAAGTCACTACCCAGTGGATAACAATCTAGACTGTTACTTTACCACCAGCTGAGTTTTCTCCGTCACGTCTACTAGAAACTCTTGAGAGTCCTTGAAAATACTTTGCTGGAATCCACAAATAATTTATGTCCTGGAGTTTTTTCCAGGGATTTAAGAAACTAGAGTCTCTTAGAGCTCTAATCATGCAAAATTGAAGCCATATTTGTATAAGAATATTCTTACACAGGTACCCAAAATCTCAGAATTCATCACTAAAGAACTCATGTTTGTAACCTAATATCATCTGTACCCCAAAAACTATCAGCATTTTTTATATTAACTTAAAAAAAGCATAATATCTAACAATACCTTTACTACACAACCTTTTGTACAAGAAAAAGCAGATAAATAAGAATTAATTTTCATATTTGCAAAAAGAAACACTAAGATGATAAACACAAAATTAATACACATGATTACATATGGGGAACAGACTGGATGGAGTGGATGAAAACGGGTGAGAGCAAACATTTTCGTGCATACATTTTTGTATTGTTTTGATTTTATTGAACCATGAAACTGTATTACCTGTTCAAATAAAATTTACACACAGAAAAGAATATTCTAACAGAATTGTTGAAATCATAGAAAAAAATCATCTCTCAGGGCTGGAACATCGCTTTGGGCTGGAGCTTCCTAGGTTTCGGCACATCTCACCAGTCCCTCCACCCGTTTGCAGGGTCACTGATAATATACTGGCCATGGCCCGCCCATCCTCTGAACTCCTGGAGAAGTACCACATCATTGAGCAGTTCCTCAGGTAAACGCCGTGGTGTTCACACAACGAGTGAGCAGACTCGTGTTTTTCTTTCATTGCCTTTGTTTTCAAATAAAAAAGTGCTTTCATTTTAACAATAGGCAGTGAAGTGTATTTCAAATAAGAAATTAAGATTTTGAAAGTAATTAATAATGTTGATTAATACCAAAAATGGTTAATTTTTTTTTTTAATGCTAGCTCCCAATATGACTGACTGCTCTTTTTCCTTTAAGCCATGGCATAAAAACAATAATCAACCTCCAACGCCCTGGTGAGCATGCTAGCTGTGGGAACCCTCTGGAACAAGAAAGTGGCTTCACATACCTTCCTGAGGCTTTCATGGAGGCTGGCAGTAAGTTCCTCCCACCCTCCTCTCATGAATTATCAAGGACAGCACTCAGAGACTTTTCTCTGCTGGGTTCTTAGATTAAAAAGGTGATGGAAATAAATACCGCCTGCACAGTAGTAGGGTTCCAAAAAAAAAAAAAAAAAGCTACCATTCTCTTTCGTGTTGCTGTTGAAAGTACAGAATTTCTTTGTTCCTGTAAGAGAGATGTTGGGAGGAGACCCTGTAGTAACAATGATTAACATTAGTTAATGCTTGCAGCATGCCGGCCATTATTATCTCATTTAATCCTTAAAACAGTTATGTAACATAGTCGTTGTTTCTGTTTTACACATGAAGCCACAGGGGCTTAGAGAATTACCTACCCACCGAAGATCACACGGCTTAGAAATGGTAGTCAGGTTTGGAACCTGGACATGATTGTGGTTTTACATGCTCGTTGTCCAGCCCCACTCCCAAAATGATGCCCGAGAATTCTACTTCTAACAATTTCAAAGCCTTCTCAATCACAGGAGCTTTAGGATGAAATACACTCAACATGTGTCCTTCAAACCAAGCTGGAAAGGATAAACAATCTGGAGCTTATTTTTAAGAAGCTGATTTACACTGGATAGAAAATCAGTATGTGCCGTCTTTAGCTATTTATCAGTCATTTAGACACATTTCCTTGCTTAAACAAGAGTGAATGCATTCCCCCCATAGCTGAGTAACTATGGCATGAATCATTGACTTTATTGATTTACAATTCTACTTTGCCGTAATTCTTTCTGGCTGAGTTTCTGCAGGAAATGTCTTAAGTAATATAAAATGTGCTTTGCAAGTAAATGTTAACAGTAAAGTTACTGGGAATGTGAAATCCCTCTTATTTTATGCAGTGTATGCACTGAGATCTACATGCCTCAGTGTAGATCTGTGTACTTTTCATTAATGTGTGTACTTTCATCAATTTCCTGTATGTTGATTTTCTTTTCCTTTTCTTTTTTCTTAGTTTATTTCTACAATTTCGGATGGAAGGATTATGGTGTAGCATCTCTTACGACCATCCTAGATATGGTAAAGGTGATGACATTTGCCTTACAGGAAGGAAAAGTAGCTATCCACTGTCATGCAGGGCTTGGTCGAACAGGTAAGTCCTAAGAGGTGGTTTTATTGTCTCACAGGCATATTTAAATGTAAAAGGAATAAGGTTTCCTAATTTGAGATAAACATTTCTCAGAATCCTGTCAAAGCTTTGGAGTCAGGTGGAAGAAGGGAATAAGTTCTAGTCTTCTGTACCACTGTAGGCTGTCTATAATTAACAATTACATATAGTTTCAAATAGCTAGGAGAATATTGAATGTTCCCAACACAAAGAAATGATAAATGTTTGAAGATTATGCATATACTAAATACACTGATCTGATCACTATACATTATAGGTATTAAAACATCACTATATACCCCATAGATATGTATAATTATTATATGTTAACTTCAAAAATTAAATCAAAAATACTTTTAAGATACTTGAATATTTGAATATTTTTTAAGATACTCTAAACAGGTAGTTACAATGACCATATGTATGTCATTTTGAAGTCTTCGGCAACAATGTGAGTTGAAGAAATTGCAGTTTGAGAGAAGTAAAGTAATTTCCTACATTTAGTAAGTAGCAGGGTCAAGCTTTAAAGCCATGGTTATCTGACTCCAGAGTTCATGTGCTTTCTATTTTTGAAGGTATAAGGATTTTGTTTGTAAAGGAGAGTCTATCTGTGCCTAGAAGTCTATTAAAAAGTCAGTGATTTTACTTAAAAATTCAGCAGAATTTCATTACAACGCTGGTATTAGGGCAAAAACAAAGACCCGAGGGCTGAGATTTTCCTTGTCATCTGCTCCAGGCACATGCACACAACTCTGTCTGCATCATACCTGTGCTCCCACCAGGGAACCTGCCACATGCTTGGGAGCATGCTCAGGGAGGGACTCAGCTCTGCTCGAGACTGGTAGCTCATAGGATCAAGCCAAAACCTCACTGTTTCTAGACATTGACATGATAGCTCTGCAGACATTTTATATTTTTACTAAGATCTTCTGTGTTCTAGTGAGAAAGGTATGATGTTCCTGACTGTGAACTGGAGAGCATGCAGTTTTCAGAGGTTCTGATTTTCATATGTAACAAGATGTTCACAAACTTGGGGATCAAATAGGTATATTTGATTTGCCTTTTACTTTAATATTAATGGACTGTTATATTTGAATTAATTTATTAATTATTACCTTTTCATTAGTTACTCCCTTTAATTAGATGTTAATACGAATACATAATGTTTATACCATTAAGGCTGGCTTCCTTAAGATTGCTTAATTTTCCTAATTGCTTATGGAAAAATAGAGGTATATCGTGGTCTGAAGAAAAACACATATTAGTATAGGCACAAATCTGGAAAAGGAATTGCCAGGAAGAAAAGTAGGCTGTGAATGTGAATAATCCCCAAAGAAGAAACTGCCCTGGTAGGGAGAATGCCAAGCTGTGAAGTGCCAGCAGTTGATGGCAAAGATGGCAGGGTGGGAGGTTCCAAACACAAAGCGTATGGATTGATTGGATGGAAATTCTCAAGAGCTGCTCAGAGTGGAAAATAGAAACAGATTTTCTTTCTCCTGTTGGAATTGAGTAGAACAAGGAGGATAGATGGGCCAGATGATCAGTTTCCCTTCCCTCCTACACACTTCCTCACCTACATTGTGCCTCTGCTGGCACAGCTCTGGGCTACTGAGATGACTCAGTCATGGGGAGGGGGTGCCATATAGACGTTTAATAAAGTTCTATGCAGTAAGGAACATGTAGTAATAATACCTCTACAAAAAGTCATCCAGTTCTCATCGTAATTGTCCTTAGAATGTGTCTCTATTTATACGGTTTTGTAACACACTCAAAGTTTAAATCATCAAGGAGTGATAAACTAAATAAAAATGTAAGCTTTTCTCATACCAGTCTTCTCTTCTTCACTGTTTAGGTGTTCTGATAGCCTGTTACTTAGTTTTTGCAACAAGAATGACTGCTGACCAAGCAATTATGTTTGTGCGGGCAAAACGACCCAATTCCATACAAACCAGAGGACAGCTCCTCTGTGTAAGGGAATTTACTCAGTTTCTAACTCCTCTCCGCAATATATTCTCTTGCTGTGATCCCAAAGCACATGCTGTCACCTTAGCCCAATATCTAATTCGCCAGCGTCATCTGCTTCATGGTTATGAGGCACGACTTCTGAAACACGTGCCAAAAATTATCCACCTAGTTTGCAAATTGCTGCTAGACTTAGCTGAGAACAGGCCAGTGATGATGAAGGACGTGTCCAAAGGACCTGGTCTCTCTGCTGAAATAGAAAAGACCGTGTCTGAGATGGTCACCATGCAGCTGGATACAGAGTTACTGAGGCCTAACAGTGATGTGTCCAACCCGTCTAACCCCACTGCAGTGGCAGCAGATTTTGACAATCGAGACCTGATTTTCTCCAATGAGCAAGAGTTTGACCCCCTTTGGAAGAGGCGGAATGTTGAGTGCCTTCAACCCCTGACTCATCTAAAAAGGCGGCTCAGCTACAGTGACTCAGATTTAAAGCGGGCCGAGAACGTCTTGGAGCAAGGGGAGACTCCACGGACAGTGCCTGCCCAGGTCTTGGTTGGTCACCACCCCAGGCAACAGAAGCTCATAAGCCATTGTTATGTACCACAGTCTCCAGAACCAGACTTACATAAGGAAGCCCTGGTTCGCAGCACACTTTCTTTCTGGAGTCAGTCTAAGTTTGGAGGCCTGACAGGACTTAAAGACAATGGGTCACCAGTTCTCCGTGGAGGGCTCATTCCAAAGGAAGCACAACAGAGTGGAGCTTTCTCTGCAGATGTCTCAGGCTCAAACAGCCCTGGGGAGCCCGTTTCACCCAACTTCACAAATGTCCGTAAGGATCCAAACCCTACTCACCAGCAAGTGTCTCACTGTCAGTGTAAAACTCATGGTGTTGGGAGCCCTGATGCTGTCAGGCAGAAAAGCACGATTCCCCGAAGCCCTCTGGACTGTGGCTCCAGGCCCAAAGCACAGTTCTTGGTTGAACATGAAACCCAGGACAGTAAAGATCTGTCTGAAGCAGCTTCACACTCTATATTGCAGTCTGAATTGAGTGTTGAAGCAAGAAGAATACTGGCGGCCAAAGCCCTAGCAAATTTAAATGAATCTGTAGAAAAAGAGGAACTAAAAAGGAAGGTAGAAATGTGGCAGGTATTATTAGTACTTTATTTAATTATAGATATGTGGGAAATATTTATGTCAGAGCAAAAGTGTAATACATTTTCTCAGACTTCCCAAGTGAAATATGAAGATGCATAATACTTAACTTTCTAACTTCAGGTTTCTCATCTATGATGCGAACCTGATGTTACAGAAAAAGCACAGGGTGTTTGTGTGGTTTCATTTAAATCCGCATATGCAAGAAAGCACTTAGCACAACGCTTGACCCACACAAGGCATTGATATAGGTAGCTTCCTTCTTTCTTTCTGGGTCTGTGGGGGCAACTGGCCCACAACAGACAGCATTAGAAACTCACTTGAAGCATCTTTAATCCGAGGCCTGGCAGAGGGAACCATACTTTGAGGACCACTGAACTAGAGACATAAATAAAATAGTTACTTTCCAAAGCTCATCAGCGCTGGTGCTGAGCAAGGTCAGAAGAGTGAGGCTGTCTCCTTGGCGTCCTCTCCTTCAGACTTGCCAATCCTGCTCTGACAGGGCAACTCTGGGGAATCAGGAGAGCAAGCGGGAGAAACCACGGATTACCGCGTGCCGTTCACTGTAGCTGAGATGAGGTCTTTGGGGTCCATTTCTTAGCTTTGACTTCAATTAGAATATAAATTTTTAACCCTTTTTTGTGTTGTACTTTTACTAGGATACAGTTTTAAGTCAGCCACACTTTCTTTGCCCTGAATCAGCAGTTGGTCTAGAGAAAAGATAGGCCTTAGAAACCTAGCTATCAGAAGCAGCCAGACTACCCCAAAAGGAGGCTGACTTGGACAGTTGTGAATCACTGAAATCGGGACTTTTGAGCCCAGGTTGGTCACCACCTCAGGCAAGTTATCTCCTTGGAATTATTTTAATAGCTTGCTTTCATAGTCTGCCATTGATTAAACAAGGCATATAAAATTTCTAAGTGCCAGTGTCTCTTCAGATGCAGAGGCATGAAAATTCAGAGCTTCACGCTAACTGATAACTATATGACGAGAGGAGAGAGCTTTTGATATAAATTTTGTTCATCAGAATTGTTTCGCCTATCCAATAGTTAAATGTATTGCTTTCTCCCAAAATGAATTGTTTTCTTTATTTCCTACTCCAAACTGAAAAAGTCATTCAGTCAGCAAATGTTTCCTGGGCATTACAGTGTGTTAAGAGTTAGCAAGCAAGAGTCTTCTGTTTTAGATGAAAATCTGGCACCCCCACTCCAGGGTCAGCCACAGTGCCCATGTGAGCTCTGCCTGTGGTGTTGAAGAGTTCAGGACTTGGTTTGGGCCAGACTGTATGTAGCATTTTCTGGAGGTGAACACAGGCCTTTAATCAGGAGAGTTTTTCATTTTTTTCATTTCTGTATTTTAGGACTTTTAGTAATCAAAAAAATCAGTTGAATTCTGGAAAAGAATAAAGTGAACATTATTTGAATAGCATAATGCTACCTATGCCTGTATTTAACCATTTCACATGGATTATTTCATGTGATTTTTCACAGTTATAGAACATATCTGTGAGGCAGATGATACTATTTCTAGATTCTTTGTTAATCTTAAGAATTCAGTATCACAGATGGGGATACTAAAGGTCACAGAGGTTAGAGGGTAAGTGACTTGCTCAGGGTCACATGGCATACATGTGGCAGAGTCAGGGTACAGCTTGTGTTTAACACTTTCCATTATCCCAGGATTCTTGGCTAACCTCACTGGAAAGCCTCAGGAAACATCATGATAGATAGTCATTTTGCTAAGAAGGTTTTTGAGTAATGTCAGTTCTGCCCAGCTTGTCTTCTTCATAAGATTGAATAAAGAGCTACTTTGTTACATACATGATCTATGGGATAGGAAGGACTCTGAATAACAAAGTACTGGTGTATTCATAAGATAACAAAGAGAAACCGGGGTCCTTGTGGTGTAGCAGAAGCAGCACAGACTCTGGAGTAAGGCAGAAGTGGATATGATGAACACCCCCTTTGCCATTTTCTGGCTCTTGTCTCCTAGGTGAGTTATTTCATCTTTCTTGAGCCCCAATACATTTATCAGTAGGGAACCTCCCTGCTGGGTGACATTTGAGAGTTAGAGATAAGACATATATTACAATTTCTGTCCCACTGTGTGCATGCAGTAAATATTGGATAGGTGAATAAATGAATGAATGGTAGCAATTATTATACTTCTATTGTCAAAATTTATTTGATTCACTAAAACATAAATCTGAACCCTGTCAGAAATTCATTAAAATCCTTAGCCCACTTTTCCCTTGCTCTCTGTGAGGTAAAATTTCTAAGTCTCATGCTTAAATTTTCTCTAGGCATTTGAGTATTCGAAAAACTTTCTAGTAATTTTCCCCATGTCAGATTTCACGACTTGGGGATTATTGTTAAATCCTACATAGGATTCTAAAAAGATATGTCAAAGATATACATATGTCCCATTTACCAACTTGCAAGCGCTTTTATTTTATTTTTGCAGACTTCAAAGCTGTCAGAGCTTTTCCTTAGACCCCAGGTTAATTTATAAATGTTCCCTTACTTGTACTTTTTCATCTACCGTCGACTTTATTGCAAAAAATAGTTCTGTTTTGTTCACCAGAAGCCTGAAAAGGAAGGTTCTTCTGAACTGTTTCTCTGGTTTCTGAATAAAGTAGAGAACTTGGGTTAACTAAGCCCTTTCTCTGTGCTGTAAGCCTTAACAGACCTTATCTTAGTCAGTCAGCCCAACAGCTTGTGAGGCAGGGGATGAGTTTCGTAGAGGGAAACTGAGGCTTACAGAATTCAGTGTCTTATTCCAGTGTCTAGCCTGGAAGTGGAGAGGCTGGGAGGGGGTTCCAGTTCTGTAGCCTAGAGCCTGAGCCTTTCACTCTCGTGGGCAGCACAAAAATCATCCAGTGTCAAATGGTGCACCTCTCTCTCCTCTCCCTGTCTCTGTCTCTGTCTGTCTTTTTCTCTTCCTTTTTAGAAAGAGCTAAATTCCCGAGATGGAGCTTGGGAAAGAATATGTGGCGAGAGGGACCCTTTCATCCTATGCAGCTTGATGTGGTCTTGGGTGGAGCAACTAAAGGAGCCTGTAATCACCAAAGAGGATGTGGACATGTTGGTTGACCGGCGAGCAGATGCTGCAGAAGCACTGTTTTTATTGGAGAAGGTAAAGTGGCTATGTATGGGACCAGTTAATGACTGTCACTGAGGCTTTTAGTTTTTCACACAGCAAGAAAAATCCATTATAAAAAATGGAATTTATACAGAATCCCAAATCTAGGTCTAATTTAATAATTTTTCCAAGAGAAGAGAAGAAACTAGTACCCAGTGTAAACACTTAGAAAATACAAAAATAAAAAGGGGAACTATCCATAGTCCTGGGAGAGGCACTGCAAACATTTTCAAATCTTTTAAACTTAGCAATATGTATATTAACTTGGTAAAAGTCATTTTAACATACAAGTTTATGTTTCCTTTTTGCTTAAAGTTACAGCTGTTTTCCCATGAAAATGTAAGCTTTTTGTAAATTTTGACTATAATGGATATGACGCTGTAACACAAGAATGTTAATTAACCATAATTAACCACTTTTTCACTGTTGGGTGTTTGTTTCTACTTATTTGCTATGAGCATGCATATGGGCAAAATTATGAAGTAGGTTGGAATATGCACTCATTGATATTTTTAAAAAGGGGTAGGCGTCCCACATACATACATGTATATATAATTTGTATGTGTAAAGTATAGATTTTTCTATGTATAAAAGCTATATGTTTAAAATAGAGAAGATACTTACATATGTATAAAATACAGAAGGAGAAATAAGAAACTGGTAATAGTAGTTACCTGTAGGAAACGATATTAGAAGACAATGGATGTAGGAAATGGGAGAAATTGTATGAATCCTTTTATATAATTTGGCATTTTTAGCCGTACAGAGATACTGAATTTTCAGTGTAACCTAGGCTTTGTTTTGGATTTTTTTGTTTTTTGAGATGAAGTTTAGCTCTTGTTGCCCACGCTGGAGTGCAGTGTGTGATCTTGGCTCACCGCAACCTCCGCCTCCCAAGTTCAAGCGATTCTCCTGCCTCAGCCTCCCAAGTAGCTGGGATTACAGGAATGCGCCACCACACCCCACTAATTTTGTATTTTTAGTAGAGATGGTTTCTCCATGATGGTCAGGCTGGTCTCGAACTCCCGAACTCATGTGATCCGCCCTCCTTGGCCTCCCACAGTGCTGGCATTACAGGTGTGAGACACCACGCCTAGCCTGTTTTTGTTTTAAGAAACAATGTTATCTAATAATCAGCCTTGAGTTACCTACTATGCTGCAGCATAAACATCTCCTCAGTTTCTAAATTTCACCAAAACTCTTCTGCTGTTACTATACACACACACACACACACACGCACGCACACACATGCACACACACGGACACATGGACACATGCATATGCAGACATGCAGATACATGCACTCACACACGTGTACACAGAATACACGACCATGTGCGTGCCTGCACACACACACACACACACACACACACAGACACTCACACAATACACGTCTTTTAAGAAACAATTTTTCCTGTATCCGACGTCCTTTTCTTAGGACATTTTCTCAGCAATTAAATCACAGAGATAAAAGATGAGAGGGTGATAAGGGAGATTAATGTTTGGTGGGTTACTGGGCCAAGCCTTTCAGGACATAATTTCCATTTTCTCTTCCGTTGATCTCAATACCCCTCAGAGGTAGAGGCCCATTTCATAGACAAGGAAAGCTGAGGTTGCATGCCCAAGGTTGGCAGCACATGTCAGAGAAGAATTCAAACTCGCTCTGGCACAAAGCCCATGTGCTTTCTATTACATAAGGCTGTCTTTTATCCTAATTCACCCTCGCTTCATGTATAGGGCATTTATATTGCTTCAGGTTTTTTACCTTAATAGGAGTCATTGTAATGATAATTTGTGCTTGCAGGTGTTTCTTTGTTATAGATTATGCTCTTAGAGTAGATTTTCAAAATTGAAATTAGTGGGTCTCTGTACATTACGTCTTAGATATGGATTGCTAAAGGCGATGGAATTTCTCCTTTGCTAAGGTGAACAGCCCCCAGGAGTCAAGTCACTAGACACATTTTTAAGTATCTTAGCCCCTTAGGTTGGAGGCCAAGCACTTAAGCACTGCGTTGTTCCTGGGGGACTGGGGTTGTCCTTGTCCTTTTCTTTGTCTGCTCGCCTCCCTCCCTAATCATCTGCAGCGGCTGGGTACTCAGATCCTGACCACTCAGTGCCCAGTAAGTCCATGTATCTCTATGACCTGTCATCATCTACTGGACAACTGAAATAATTATATCCAGAAACAACAAGAATGGGAAAACCTATTCAGTTCACTGCAAGAGAAAAACTTTGTTTAAAGTTGCAGTGATCTTTAAATTTACTTTTACTTTGTGCAATAGCTAGCCAGCTTTGATATTATTTCCTGAAAGCTTTTTAAATTATATTAACACATAATAATAAACATTTGTTGATGTTTAGATATTTTGTTAGATGTTTTGGCATTTGACATTGTGAGTACTTGGTCACAAACCAATTCTTCATTCTACAAAAGTTTTTGAACAATTTTTAAAATTTTGATTTCTGCAAAAACAGGGACAGCACCAGACAATTCTCTGCGTGTTGCACTGCATAGTGAACCTGCAGACAATTCCCATGGATGTGGAGGAAGCTTTCCTTGCCCATGCCATTAAGGCATTCACTAAGGTGGGTCACACTCTTAACTTTCCCCTCTCTGAACCATGGATCAGCATCAACTTTGTAAATCAGAATCCAGAGGTCACCATTGTCCTCCAAAATAAAACATGTATGTGTACGTTTCCCCTTCATGGAAATGTGTTTGACATGTCTTCTGAGTAGTTGCAGAGTTTTGACCAAAAACAAAGTTTCCAAACAATAATCTTAGGAAAAGCTGAACTGTGGGTTTTTTTGAAGGAGAATGTTGTAACAAAGAGCTTTTATGTAGAGAAACAACTGGGCATTGAATTCATATTTTTAGGTCATATGCCTAATTAGAATCAGAGAATCTTTGCTTGTCGGGCCAGTTCTACCTTGGGTTTAAGTTAAGAAACCATTTATTGAAAATTAAACATCCAACGTCGCTGATTCAGTACTGAGTCCTGGTCGGCAAATCCTAAGGAAAGAGTTAAAAAAAGCTTTTCTTTCGAAAAGCCCATCCTTTTGGTCGCAGCAGTTTTTCCTGGCTGAAGAAAGAAGCATTAGCCAGGTTCATACCAAGAGAAAACTTTTCCCTTATGCCATCAGCTATAATTTGTTCATATTTCTTATTGATGGGAAAGTATCTATACTTTGCTTGTTACTTCTCATTGATATAAAAGCGTCATTAAACGAAGAACCCGGCTTTTGAATGCCAACATCTTTGCTATCATTAATGATAACAGCAGTTATTATCTGTACTCATTCACAAGTTGTAAAGGTTCTTCATTTTTAATATTTGTCCAGTTTCCTTCCCCGCCACTCTTTCCAAAGTGATGTTCTTACTTCAGCCTTCTTTGTTCCTCATCTGGATTTTATGGCACTAACTGCTGACATCTTTTCGGTCTGTTCTCTATTGTTTCCAGAGTCAGTAGTCTCAAATCCAAACCACGTGGTCCTTTACATCTGTATTTACATTTTCGTAGACTGAGAGGTTACCTACCATGTGAAGAAGGTTGTGGTTTGGTGTTTAAGAAAGTAAATAATTCACACCATTATTAATGTTAATAAGGAGTTTTTTGCAAATGGGATAAACAATATAGTAGTTAGATAAATTCCTGAGCTTGACTGAAAAAAAAAAATTCCTTAAGATTAGTCTCTTTGAAAGCAGTAGGAATTCTCTACAACTTCTATTGGCCTTTTGAGGGGATACTAATGAAAAGTTACAGAATCAAAAGCGAGAGTTAGCAGTCATTCAGAATCTGTCTATAGAAAACGTTAGGAGACAGTTCTTGGGTCTCTCGTGTCTCTTCATAATCTGATGAGCAGATGCACTGACCAGTCTCTTTGGGGATTCACTCTTCACTGATGTCTGGAAGGCTCTGCCGGGAGGGCAGAAGGCACACATTCTGCCTTCCAGGATAAAAATCTTTCCCTTCAGGGCAAAGATTGGCAGACTTGCTTGCAGCCCCCTTGTAAAACATTGGAGTTTCCTAAGCTTGGGGCTCCTCAGCTATGAGGCGAACCCCACGCTTGTGCAGCCTCCACCTGGGCCCCTCTGCATTGCCCCCACGGGACTTGGGAGACAAGGAGAACCCGTGTGAATTTGAAGCACACGCAGCTGTGAGAAATAAAAGTTCTCTGTCTCTGACCCAGGAGTCATATCTTGTACCAGTGTCCATGACACTGGCAAGCTAACAGGTCAAAATCTAAGATCCTTTACAGTTGTTGACAGAGGAAACAACCTTCCCTTTGTCAGAATTTATCAGAGAAGGAGAAATTCCAGGAGAGAGGCAGCGATTGTGTGACCCTGATTCTTTCCCAGGGAGTCACACGTTACTCTGAGTTTGGGTGGTGGACGGGTACACACTCTGGTTCTCTGTCTTGCCATCACTCCTAACCCAGAGTATGGTAAACTGGGGTGAAAATGCAAATATGTGTAAATAGTGCTCTCCCATCAAGGGGAAAGGATATTTACTTTGATCAAGGTGGGGTTGGTTGGTTGGTTTTTTTGAGACAAGGTCTCACTCTGTCACCCAGGCTGGAGTTCAGTGATGCAATCTCAGCTCATTGCATCCTCTGCCTCCTGGGCTCAGGCAGTTCTCCCATCTCAGCCTCCCAAGTAGCTGGGACTACAGGCATGTGCCACCATGCCCGGCTAATTTTTTAATTTTTTGTAGAGGCGAGGTTTTGCCATGTTGTCCAGGCAGGTCTCAAACTCCTGGGCTCAAGCAGCCCTCCCACCTAGGCCTCCCAAAGTGCTGGGATTACAGACATGAGCCACTGTGCCCAGCCAAGTGAGGTTTGTATATGTACAAAACATTAGACTCAGATACACTATCTTAGGAAGTGGGAATCCTTATCTCTGATTTACACAGGAGGAAATCGAGGTCCAGAGAGGTTGGGTATGAGATGAGCACAGCTCGCAGGTGGGGAACCAGGCTCCTATTCAGGTCATTCTGCCTCTGTCCGGAGTGGCCACAGGGCCTCTCAGCAGGACACATACAGCTGATGTGCTGTTTTAATATCGGAAACTTTTCCCTTATACCATCAATGATTGGTCTCAAAAAATTCATTTCACACTCATTTTTTTTTTTTTTTTTTTTGAGACGGAGTTTCGCCCTTGTTACCCAGGCTGGAGTGCAATGGCGCGATCTTGGCTCACCGCAACCTCCGCCTCCTGGGGTCAGGCAATTCTCCTGCCTCAGCCTCCTGAGTAGCTGGGATTACAGGCACGTGCCACCATGCCCAGCTAATTTTTTTGCACTTTTAGTAGAGACGGGGTTTCACCATGTTGACCAGGATGGTCTCGATCTCTCAACCTTGTGATCCACCCGCCTCGGCCTCCCAAAGTGCTGGGATTACAGGCTTGAGCCACCGCGCCTGGCCCCTTTTTTTTTTTTTTTTTTTTTCCAAGGGAAAACAATATGTTTATTAAGAGCCATGAAAATGCATAAACTCATTTGTAAATAAATGTAGTATAATTTACTCAGTGAAAAAATAGCTAAAATCCATGAGTAAACTGGATTTTATATTTGAAATGATTTTACATATTTGATCTCCAGTGATTTCCCCTCCATCATGATCTATTGGTAGCAGCCATTTTGCAATGACTATAGAAAAAGCTGTTACCAACAATCATCATACCAGGGAAAGTTTTTCCAGAATGCTCTTTAAAACCGAACCAGTGCAAACACATTCAGATTACAAGGGATATGATAAGACCTGGAGCTTACCTTCAGAAATGTAAAAAATAAAAATCTCAAACATGAATTCCTTAAGAAATGAAAAAACAAACTACATTTTGATCAGTGAAAAATATTATAAGGATATATAAAACATTCTCAACCAGTGATCGCAATAATTACATTGATAAATGTTCGTTCAAGTACTATTGTTCAATAAACATTCAAATTCTCATTAAAAGTAACACTAGATATAGACACACCTGGACAATGTCTCTTTTGATTTAGCAACAATCATGTCAACAGGAGGCAAGTGACCCTTCAAATACTGTCATTGGCTCTGTTTTGTTCTATTTGTCTGTGAATGATTTCTTCACAGTCTGTATTTTTTTCTGCAAGGACCCAAGAAATATATCTCACAACAGCTAATTAAGAAATCATTTTTATAAAACAACTCTCAATATTACAGAAACAGACATTCTAAAACACAAGTTTAGCTCAAAAAATAACAGGGCAGAATCAGTTTTCTGTTGACTTACTTCATGACTGGGTGTATATAATTAAACTAAATATCCAGGCACTAGATTTAATTTTGGGGTTTTCATTCTTAAGTTTGGTATTGACATGGTTGGCAGTTCTAACATAGTCTTTCAATTAAAATGTGTGAACTTTATTATTTGTATTTCATACAGAGTTTTGTTTGTAAATCTTTTTTTTTTTTCTCCACCCCCTCCTTCTCAAAATAGAAACTAGTTAAAATTCTTGTTACAGTGTCCTGAATATAAATTTCTTTGTCACCAGGTTAATTTTGATTCTGAAAATGGACCATTAGTTTACAACACCCTGAAGAAAATATTTAAGCACACGCTGGAAGAAAAAAGAAAAATGACAAAAGATGGCCCTAAGCCTGGCCTCTAGCTTTCCCTCGTGGTGAATATTTCAGACCTAAAGATCCAGATAATTTCTCTATTCATATGGGAATAGGTTGAAGTTTGTGGGACTACTTTTTCTCATAGCACTTTATTTTAAATGTTGTTGGTTTGTGCTGAGAATGGTCGTCCCAATTTGAACCAATTATTTATTTTTAAATATCCTTGAACTACATTTTTGTTTTGAAAAATTGCCATGAAGTTGGTGCCACTTTCTTTTATTTATTTGACTGAGTTAACATTTTAATATATGGTGTTTACATTTTTCTTTCTTTTGACGTTTTAGAGAAAATCGTAACTTGTTTTTCCAAAATAACTATTTTCTTGATGGAACTCTTCCTAGAGTTTTTACCAAATACCTAACTTTAGTAGTAAGACTTCATTGTGTATCCATTCCCCAGCAAATGAACTAAGAAAGTCACCAAGTGTCTTAAACTGTTTTATATTTGTTACTAAGAAGGCTATTGCTACAATATTTTTAAAGGGTTTTTTTTTTTTTTTAACTTTGAAAGTTTTGTTTTTCCTTTTCTTTTTATGAATGTAACAAAGAGTTTCAAAGCATATTATTTTTCAGAGAGATTTAGTTTTACTTTAATGGGGTGACTGTGAAGTGGTTGGCATTTTTTACTTGTAGAAAGTAGACTTGCTGTTTGTCAGATTTCCAAACAACCTTGCCAGCCTTGACTGTCAAGAGGAGGCAGGAGCAGTTCTCAACACATGAAGCCTTATTCCCACTCCCTTGGGTTGCTGCTGAGCCAAATAGCATCTTTACAGAGGAAGTGGGATCAGAGGCAGGAAGTGTGGAAACTTGCTAAGAAGCAGGGCTTGCCTCTGTCCTCCCAGGGACTCCGCAGGGACATTCGTGCAGGGCAGGGATTCTGTGCCAGCCCTGCTCTCTCAGGTGCCACAGTCACTGCAGAGGCAACTCTTGGAGCTGGAGGAAGCCAGGGCCGGGCCACTGTTTGTGCTGATGGTGTATTAGTGTGAGCAGCCTGGCTCTGGCCTCAAATCTGCTACCCCATCGATCAACTTGCCTCAAGGCTCTATATTTGGCTGCTTTTTTATGACAATTAAGATTTTTAAACTGAAGTTGACCATACAGGTTACATTAACCCTAACTAGCTTCATAAGAAGGGTGACTGCCTAAACTAGTTCCTTGTAAGCTAAACCATCAATTAGCAATTGAAACCATACTTTTATTTAAATTAATATGTGGAGATACCAGAGGCCAAGCCACATAGAGGATAATAGTTTTTCCCAGTAAAGGTGATATTAATCAGACTAATTTCAAACTAAAGAAGTTATTACTTAAAGATGGAATTTCAGGGGAAGCAAGACTAATTTAGAACAAATGAAATTTCTCCAGTTCCTTCATTTCTGAATTAACCTCTAGCACATCAAAAATATCTCAGTCACTATCAGTCTCACTAACTCTAATGCCAAATGCTAAATCCAGTGTTCTTTCACACAGTTTTAATTTTCTTGGGAAATCAAATCCAATGAATATTAATGAACTGGGTTGCCCATCCCTGAAATGTCTTATTTTCAAGTGCCTGGCCTGGGAAAGAAGGGGAAGAAACAATTGCATTTTATCCAAAGGTACATTATAAAAATAGAGTTTTTACCAAAAAAGGATATTTGTTCTCATCCCAATCAGCCTCATTTGGGCAAGTGACCCACAGGTCTTTTGGCGAGTCCGCTATTTGCCTGTGCATCTAAAATACTTGTTTCAACTTAGAGAGTAGTCATAATGTGACCATAGCACTGAACGTCTAAAAATCTAAGCCTGAAACCTGAAAGAAGAGATATGACAAGGGAAATTAATCAGGCTATATACAAGTATTGTATTTATTTGAATAAAAGTAAAAAGAACAACCCATAACCCTAGTCTTGTACTTCTTTACCTTGATGCTCTAGACATCTGATGATAAAGATGAAATTTTGCTCTTAGATTATCCTGACAGGTAGATTAAGTTGTCAGCTGAGTCAGTGAGCCAAGCTCTAGTTAGTACAGACGACGTCCATCAGTTCAGCAGCATGACCAAACACTGAGGGACTGGGAGAGGTGAGTTCTAAGAAGAATAGCCAACGAAAATCTCCATGCTGGCAAGATTCTTGCCTTCTCATATTTGGGTGAGGAGTTCTTTGTAGCCTGGAGGATACAGATCTCACATAGTGGGAGAAGTGATAAGGTTGAAAAATTCAGTTCAACAGAAATGGGAAGGTTGAGGGCATATACATATTAAGAACTTACCATGGGCCAGTCATATCCATTACCTCACTGAATTCTCTTGACAGACAGAGACGTCTTTTTTTTTTTTTAATTTACCTTTATTTATTTTTTTGAGATAGGTTCTTGCTCTGTAGCCCAAGCTGCAATGCAGTGGCATGATCTTGGCGCACTGCAACCTCCGCTCCCAGCCTCAAGTGATCCTCCCACTTCATCCTCCTGAGTAGATGGGACTACAAGCACATGCCACCACATCCACCTAATTTTTTGTATTTTTTTGTAAAGATAGAGTTTTGCCATATTGCCCAGGCTTGTCTTGAACTCCTGAGCTCAAGTGATCCTTCCACGCCTGGCCTGAGAAGTCTTAATCATAACTGTGATGTGAGATAAGGAGTCTGATGGACTCCATGCTGTGCCTTCCTCCCTGCTCATGTTACCTGCCTCTAGGACTCAACCTGGCAAGGCTGCCCAGTCAAAGTGCCTTCGCAGGGACTTTGAGGTCCCTTTAGCACTAAATTTTATGATGGCATTAGAGAGCACTGTGCTGTCCATATTTAGTGAAAACATCACACATCTGTACTCTGGAAAAGGCTGAGCCAGCTCTATTTCTATCATATGATGCTTTCTAGTATATCACACTTCTCTTGCCACTGTTGTGTTTTCTTTTCTTTTTTTTAAATTGCATTTTAGGTTTTGCGGTATATGTGAAGAACATGCAGGATTGTTGCATAGGTACACACATGGCAGTGTGATTTGCTGCCTCCCTCCCCATCACCTATATCTGGCATTTCTCCCCATGCTATCCCTCCCCAACTCCCCACCTGCCGCTGTCCCTCCCCGATTTCCCCCCAACAGACCCCAGTGTGTAGTGCTCCCCTCCTTGGCCTTTTCTTACTTCAGAGAGCTTACTAATGCCCTTTAAGACAAATTGCTGCTGGTAGTAGAGCTTGCTCCATTTATTTATGTAACTCAGAAAATCTGTGCTGAGTTACTCAGTCATATCTTCAGCCAGCTTCCCAGTCTTATCTGAGAAAAAGTATTTGCTTCACTATGGATTCCATGAAAAACACCATATATCATAATTCAATAAAGATCAAGTTTCTCTATTTTCTCTTAAATGGAGAACACTTGCTGATATGATTGGGTGCTATTTCAGACTTGTCTCCGGATGTCTGAAAAAATATCCGGGGACAGTATAATGTAGGCAGAGTGTAACCCCAAGTTCGTGACATCTGACAGCCCCCATGTAATTTGGGTGATCAATTTAAAAATGACAGCTTACTCATAGGATCTTCATTGTTGTTTCAAGTTAACAAGCATTAATATATTTTCATTGAAATATATTAATATATTTCAAGAACAACATTATGAATGGCACAAGATTAGTGTGTTACCTAAGAGCTTTTCTCGATGCTAGGTGGGTGCGAATTGTTTGCAGATAACGTGGCAGGAGAAAAATTCAACAAAACCCTGTTCCTCAGTGGTGCATCATTTTTTTTAGTTATGCTTTTAGGCATGAGCTAATCTCTTATTAGCCCAACACTGACAATAAAACTGATTTATAAGTAATCACAATAGAGCCATTCAGTATTGGAGTTTGACAAGCCTTTGTTCTAAGCCCTCCAGTCACTAAAAATAATGTCCCAATAAGACTTAAATGTCGTAAAACCTTTTGCAACAAAAAAGTTTCATACATGCACTGAAATTTATATAGTAAGAGAAGCCTGCTAAGCCCTTGCCTCTTGGCTTTCTTGATTAAAATGAGAAAATATTTTACTCTTGAGATTGCCTATTTTAGAGAGAAATTACATTTTGGGGATGGGCTCCTACTTATCTGACCCTTATAGTGTGGTCTGACAGTAGCCTCTGGTTTTGATTTAATGAGTTGCTTTATCATTTTTGTCTCCTCTTAAAAATGAAAACAGGCCGGGCGCGGTGGCTCACGCCTGTAATCCCAACACTTTGGGAGGCCGAGGGGGGCGGATCACGAGGTCAGGACCTTGAGACCAACCCAGCCGATACGGTGAAACCCCGTCTCTACTAAACATACAAACTAGCCTGGCGCGGTGGGGACCACCTGTAGTCCCAGCTACTCGGAAGGCTGAGGTAGGAGAATCACTTGAACCTGGGAGGCGAAGGTTGCGGTGAGCCATTCACAGCACTGCACTGCAGCCTGGGTGACAGCGTGAGACTCGTCTCAAAAAAAAAAAAAAAAAAAAAACCAAAGAAAAGAAACTGCTCGGGCTTTTCACTTAGGTTTAACCATAGGGATTGGCCTTTTTTTTTTTTTTTTTTTGGTAAAAAATGATCGAGCATTGGCCATTCCATGTGGTTCAACCTAATATCAAATTCAATATTTCCAGGACTAGTAGGTGACATTTCCTGAATTAATTTTGGTAGGCTTAGATTAGGTGATCAATTATTTTCTAAGACTATCCTGTATGCTCACAGTAGAGTTCCAATACAATTGTAAGTGACAAATATGAAACATATTCTTTTAGCAACATGTCTTTGCCTATTCTGCTTGGCCCTCTGCTAATTCTGGGGACACACGGGAATTATTATTCAGTCATTTGTCCCTCTAGGAGTCGCACTGCATATCCCTCAGAATTCCATGTGTTGGAAACTTAATTCCCAATGCAACAGACTAGGAAGGTGCAGGCTTTTAGGAGGTCCTGAGAGTACCACCCTCATGAATGAATTAATGTCATAATTAAAAGACTTGATGGAGGGGATTCTTTTTTTGCCCTTTCACTTAGTCTTGTGAGGACACAGCATTCTCCCCTCCAGATGACACAGCATACAAGGCACCACCTTGGAAGCAGAGAGCAACCCTCACCAGATGGCAGTGCCTTGAACTTGGCCTATCCAGCCTCCAGAACTGTGAGAATAAATGTCTGTTGTTTAAGTTGCCCAGCCTATGCTATTCTGTTATAGCAGCACAAAATGCACCAAGACAGAGATTAGTACCAGAGTCGGGTGTTGCTAAAACAAATACCTAAAAATGTGGAAGCGGCTTTGGAACTGGGTAATGGGTTGAGGCTAGAAGAGTTTTGAAATGAAAGCAGGAAAAAGCTTGTATTGCCATGAGTGGAGCATTAAGGGTGATTCTGGTGAGAGCTCAGAAGAAGAGAGCTGTAGGGAAAGTCTCATTCTTCCAAGAAACTGCATAAGTAAAAATATGGACGGTAAAGACCATTCTGATAAGGTCACAGAAATGAGGACTATCAACTGGGGGAAGACCATCTTTTGTTACAAAGTGGCAAAGAACATGGCTGAACTATGTCCATGTCCATGTTCTAGGACTTTGTAAGGGGCAGAACTTAGAAGCAATGAACTAGAATATTTGGCAGAAGAAAAGTCCAAGCAAGAAAGTGTTCAGAATGCTGTATGGTTTCTCCTAACTGCTTATGCTAAAATGGGAGAAGAGACATGATTTAAAGGCATAATTGATAATTCAAAGGGAAGCAGAACATAAAGATTTGGACAATTCTTGGTCCAGCCATGTAAAGAATAAAAACATGTTTAGGCCAAGTGTGGTGGCTCACGCCTGTACTTCCAGGACTTTGGGAGGCTAAGGCGGGCAGATCGCTTGAGATCAGGAGTTCGAGATCAGCCTGGCCAACATGGCGAAACCCTGTCTCTACTAAAAATACAAAAATGAGCTGAGTGTGGTGGCAGGCACCTGTAATCCCAGCTACTTTGGAGGCTGAGGTAGGAGAGTCACTTGAATGTGGGAGGCAGGGCTTGCAGTGAGCTGGGTTGGGTGGCAGAGTGAGACTGTTTCAAAAAAAAAAAAAAAAATGTTTAGGGCCGGGCATGGCGGCTCATGCCTGTAATCCCAGCACTTTGGGAGGCCGAGGCGGGTGGATCACTTGAGGTCAGGAGTTCAAAACCAGCCTGACCAACATGGTGAAATACCATCTCTACTAAAGGCCTATAACGTCAGCTATTTGGGCGGCTGAGGCGAGAGAATCACTTGAACCCAGAAGGCAAAGGTTGCAGTGAGCCGAGACGTGTCACTGCACTCCAGCCTAGACAACAAAACGAGACCCCATCAAAAAAAAAAAAAAAAAGTGTTTAAAAGATAGCACACAGGCTGTGGCCCGGCCACGATTTGATAAGATTAGTATGGAGAGAAGAAAGCCACGTGCTATTTATCAAGACAATGGGAGACTGACCCCAAAGGTATTCTGGACATCTTGGTACAAGAGGAAGGGGCAACCATGCCCATCAAAAGCCCGGAGTGCTAGGGTCTTGGGGATAGAAGAATTTTGAGAAGGGGCCCAGGGTGCCCATGCATGGGACCTGAGTGCTCAGTGCTGAGAGCCACCTTGGGTCTCTGCACCCTGTACTCTGGCACAGTCCTCCTTGGCCACCCCAGCTCTGATTCAAGCAGGCCCAAGTGCAGCTAGGGCACTGCTCTGGAAGGTACAAGCAGTGAGCCTCGGCACATCCATGTGGTGCTTAATTCTGCGGGTGTGCAGAGTGCAACAGCTGTGGAGGCTTGGCTTCCTTCACCCAGATTTCAAGGAATGCCTCAGTGGGCCCAGGCAGAGAACTACTGCAAGGGCAAATTCTCTGCAGAAAGCCCCCACTAGGGCAATGCCTAGTGAAGTCATAGGAGTGGGGCTACCCCAGAGACCGCAGAA